ATCTCTTCATCTTTCACCTTGCTGCTGGGTTGCTTTGTAAAACTTTAACAATAAGCTCATTTGATTGAAGTGGAGATAAGGAGTCAGCTCATATGTGTAGATTTTTTTCTCGAGAATGGTTTGTGAAACCCGTGAGTATCTGGTCTGTCTGATTGTCTCACAACCTATAGACACTACTGTAAGAAAAGGGTGCTTGTTTGTTTCCACAGACATTTTGACTGTGTAACATAAGACAAACATGTTCTTTAACCTTTATTTAAAAATATCTATTGCAAAAGCACTGAGCTTGACTCTAATACCCAGGAATAGCGAATGAGTTGTTCACTAATGTGGAGCAATGCTTGAAACAGAGTGTTTTCATGGCTGTATTTTTTTTCATTTGAATGTTTCTTTTTAGTGTCAGAATGTTTAGTAAATGCATTTGACAATATTCCCTTAAAGAGTTTATGATAGCCACCTGTTTGAGGCTGGAAGAGGAAGGGGGGAGTTACCTGATGTGAGAAGAAAGAGCAGACTGCAACAACCCCCTGCCCCTTTCATCCCGTTTTGGATATTATGACACTGTTCTGGTTTTAGAAATATGTGATTTCCTTTTTTTTTTGGTCTTGAAAAAGAGGGAATGCATTTTTCAAGGTGACTGTAAGGAGAAACTGTTAGTCTCTAGGCTGTGCAACCTGTGCATGCACCACACACAGGCAGTGTGAGAACGTGTGGCTCATGAAGATACTTGTTCAGGAATGATAAGGGAAGCCTAACTCTAATCCAGGGTACGATAGCATGTGTGCTCTCAAATGTGAGTCCTACCTATGGCAGGAAATTTCACTATGAAGTATTTATCTGAGTGGTTGCCCTGGTATTCATAGGTGGATACCTGTCACCTGCTGCTGCTTTTGCCATGGAGGTGGTAGGTGCGATAGCAGTGGCTTCTCTGTGTTTGCTGAAGAATCTCTCACTGGAGATATCTTCCCAGGTTTCCTGTGTAAGCAGAACTGAAAAGTAAACCATCTATTTTCTCAGTACTTCCCTGAATCACAATCCTGAAGGAAGGGAAGGTTAAAAGCACTTAAAAAAAGTTTTGTTAATTAAAAATATCTTATTAAGCCTCTTTGTCCATAACTATACTGAGAAAATATATCTGGATTTAGCAAGTAACTTGCACAAAACACAGTTGTATTTAATAATGTGGTAGCTTGTCATAAATTCCTGCCCTTGCTCATTCCAAGGACAAAATGAAGTTTAACATTGGGATAGTTAGAAAGCATTTTACCTCATACATTTTAACACTGCATTTTCCCTGTATAGTGTCGAGCTTAGTTATTCTAATTTTATCTTCAGTAATGGGTTCCTAATTTTATTGTTGTGGCTGTTGTTCCCTCAGGGCATTTGGAAATGAGATTCAGTATTTAAAAAATACCTTAGCTGTAACACACTTTTAATAATGAAATCAATGAAAAGAGTATTTCTGACTAAAAATCCTGAATACTTTTACATGGATTCATAAAGAGTTTTTACTCAGTGCTGAGTTTTCTGTCTCTGTTGCATGTAACTGCTCATTTGTCCCAGGGATATTCTGCACTGATCTGGAAATCTCCATTCAGAAGAGCCAGTGGGTGACATGTTTTCTACCAAAGCATTTGTCAGATGTGGTAGAGTCCACAGGAAACCTTTTGAAACACAAGAGGACTGTATAGCCAGTGCAGCATTATGGCATTACGACCAAGAAGCTGTTTTAGCTTTGGAGTAAGAGCAGGCATTTCCTCTGAGATAGAAATAGATGCATTTTTTTCCTTCACTTATATGGAAGGAGGCACGTACATGGCTAGGTAGGACTCTGGGGGTTTCCAGCAGCTGCTCTTCTTCACCTGTGTAAAAGGTGATCAGTGTCTTGCTCTGTGTGCATTCCCAGGAGACAGGCTTTTCTCCTGGGGAAACTTCTCCGTGTCTCGTCACTGAGTGCAGCTTGTCTGCTCTGCCCCACTCCTCCCCAGCATTATGATCTCAATCAGTCAGGGCATCTGGAGGTGAAAGGAAAGCCTGGGAGCAAGTGCTTTGGGATGGCCAGGTGCTCGCTTCCCCTGGTGCCCATAGCATCAGCAGAGAAGAATCAACGATGGTGTCAGCGGGGCCCACACTTGCAGACTTCTTGATTTACATGTCTGTAGATTACTCAAATAGGATAATGTTTTTCAAAAAAGGATTGTCTTGCTGGGTCTTGTTTGCCAAATATCAGCCCGGAGCAAGTTTTTACAGCTGAGATACAATGAGCATAGCTGAGATACAGCTGATAGCAATGTTTATGATAGAAATCCTGCCAGCTATATAATGCCAGCAACACGCTGGCCGCTTACTCACTGGAAGACTTTGTTGTCAAAAAGACTCTTTCTTTTGCTAAATGGGAGTATGTTTGGGCAATATTACTTGGTGCTTCTAAGAGCAAAGGCTCCACGCTGGTTAGTGGTTAGCCAAGCCCACAGGCGCTGCGTGCCAACGTCCCCACGCAGCTCTGCCAGTAACAATAAGGGCTGGTGCTTACGCAGCACTTTTCATCTTCAGACTGGTGCGCAGGGGGGGTGGGACACCCCCCCCCACACACACACAAACTGTGGTTGCTGCTGGCCACAGAGCTGTGATGGCAGCTCTCCTGCAGCTCGGGGCTGGAAGGGTCGTGGCAGTCCGTGGGACACATGCTGCCCGTCGCTCCCACACGTTGCTTGAAGGAAAAGCAGCCTGTGCCCTAAGACAGGACAGGCAGCACATCCCAGCTGGGCCACTCATCGCTTGCCAGGGCTACCACATCATCCCTGCCTGCAAATAGGACTCCTCTATCAGGCTGCGTAGACAAGGCTTTCTTTATTAGGATATTTTTCCTGGGGAACACACCCGTGAAGCACCAGGGCTCTATGGCTTCCTAAACTCTTTTGACTACTTTGTGTGTCTCTGGGGAGGATTTTGTTCTTCTTAAGGCAAATGGTTTTTTGCTCCTGATCTCATTTCCCAGACTTGGAGCACTTCTGGGTAAAGAATACAAAATATGCAAAATTACACAGTGTTTCTACAGTGGTGTTACTAAGTACCCTTCAGTGCCCTTGTGCAAAAATAGTTATGACAGGGCAAGCTCATGACAGGGGGCTTTGCCCTCGTGGAACTGCAAGATGACCTTTCTGCGGATACGCCCTTGGGACATACTCCGAAACAGCGGTCTCACTTGTTGGTATGGACGAGTGCTACCTAGAATTTGGATATAAAGGAAAATGTATTTGCTGAGCCATTCTTGGGAACGCAACAGCTCCTACAGTGATGTATTTGTTGTCATTGGCCTGGTTTGAACAGCAGGGTATGTTCAGCTCGTATTCAATCATATAAAAAACCGTGAAAAATGACATTGTGATCTAAGACCGCTGAGCTTCAGCTTACATGGTACATTGCCTGCTTCCAGTTAAGCTCAATTTGAAGCAAATTATTGCCAGTTGTGTTTCATTAGTGCACAGAAAAAAGGGCTGCATTTATGTTTTCCAGAAAGTTGCTGAATCACACCACGATGCAGAATATATTCCTCAAATGGCCTCTCTCTAATGATGCAAAAAAAACCCCAACCAAAGGCAAACCTGTATCAAAAGATGAAACATGTTATATGGGTTAGCTGAGGAAAAGTAGTATTATCTTTTTTTAATGCCTCACGCTGCAGTGCCTGGGAATTGAAGGGCATAGAGTGTTCCTTTTCTCTTTTACTGCTGCATGACCTGTGCTTAACTACTTATGTTGCAATCCTAAGACCTGCTCTTTTTCCCCAGGAGACAAACACTAAAGTATTAGTAGACCTTAGTGCGTGATGGGAAGAGCTCTTAGTATAATTTTAATGTATAAATATTGTATGCTTTATGCAAGTTCTTAGACTTTTACAGAAATGTAAGTTAGCTGGTGCACACTCTGGTGGCCGGTCTTTCTACAAGGAGAACTCACAGGTATAACATGGGAAAAAATGCATGTGTATTTGCCATGTATTGTGCACTATTTTTTTCATTTGTAATTGTTATTTTTAAGTTCTGAACACATATACTACTCAGTCAAGCATCTTACGGAAGTCATTGCTCCCAAACAGGTGTTTTTTAGATGCTAGTCTTTTGATCTCAAAGAGTGAATCTGGGTTTGATAAGATCCAGTCTCTGTTAAACTTTTTTCGTCACAGCTCCCTATCTGTTTCAAAAAGAAAAAGAATGAGGGGAAAAAATAACCTTGTCCTTTCTTTTGTTGGACTACAATAAACATGGTAGGGAAAAGGCTCTTGGTACGTATTTGTGTCATGGCCAGCAAATGCAATTCTGGTTAGGCCAAGCTTTCTGGGCTTTGCAGTCCTACAAATAACTACCAGCTTTCTGGGCCTACAATAGAGGTATACGTGGGTTAAAGATTTTTAGAAATTTTTGTGTATGCACATGTAAATTACAATAAACAATGTTCAATTCAGGCACATAGCCTCTACAGACAATAATTAACTTTTGATATTTCTGCATATTCTGTCTTCTGAATGCACTTTTAGTATTGGTTGTGCTTAATACTGTTTCTCATATGTTGTCTGTGACATACAGTTGTATATTATTGAGTTGTTCTTTCTGTTCAACAGGAAATGCTGGGCTTTTCTGAGTGCAATCTTCCCTTACTTGTAGGTGGTGCTCTATTACTTTGGCTGGAGGTGTTGGAAGATGAAATTCTGCTCAGTTGCTAACCAAGCAAATCTCTATTCTGCAACGTGCTGAGGTGCCAGGACACCCCAGTGATTGCAGAAGGGGGAAAACAGGGAGATTCTTGACCCTTTGTGGGGCTCAGGTGTGAACCTGAAGAAGAGGGAAGGAGGAAAAGATGGTAGATGTGGATCTGCAGCCCCCTTGTCCCTGCCCAGAGGGGTGCTGGTGCTGCTCCCCCTGTTTGCAGGGTAACAGCTCTGGCCCTTGGGACTGCTCCCTCAGACATTTCCATTCTCTCCCTTTGCGTCTCTCTCTCAGGGCCATTGCTTCAGGTTGCAAACTCCTGTCACTCAGGAAAAGAAGGGGACCTGCTCCCTCTATAGGATTTCCTGGGGGTTGCGTCCCTGAACCGGCCATCCAGGGGATCAGAGCTGCGTGCAGGGATTGAAGGCTGGCAAAAACCGGAGTGAGGCATATTTTGCATTTCTTTCAAATTCAGAGGTTGATATCTGTGTGTGTATATATGTGTATGAATCTGTGTGTGTATGCATGTGCGTCTGTGTGTATACGTGTATACATTCTCTAACACTTATGTATATAGATATTTTTTCTGCAGAAGTCACGCATGGAGCAATTTTTACTGTTTGCTCTTGGCCTGTTTTAAACCAATGCGTGATCTTTTTGTGTGTGAACGTTCTGTTTGTTACTGGTTTATGATGACCCCCTCCTGCCTGCATTCTACTTGTATTAGTGGAAGAGACACCCCCTGGGCTGTTGTTCCCTGAACCCAGGCACACTCCCTCCCCAGCGCCCAGTATCCCGGCTCCTCTCCTCTCTCCTCTCTCCTCTCTCCTCTCTCCTCTCTCCTCTCTCCTCTCCTCTCCTCTCCATCCCAGGGTCCTGCCTCCACAATCACACCAGCACTGCAGTTTCTGGCATCATTCTGGTAAGAAAAGCAACCTGTATTAAGAACAACCATGTAAATAAAAAACGATTATTCGTAGCTTGGATCAGCTCAGTGACCTGATTTCCAGCACAGCCCCAACAACAGTTGCAGAGCAGCATGAGTGTGAAGAAGCAGCCGGAGGCAAGGCAGGGATGGGAGACAGACGTTCCCAAGCTGGCCTTGCAGCTGAAGTCCCCCTTTGTGAAACCCCAGCTGCCAGCATACCTTTGCTGAGGCACGGATAGCAGAGGGAATTCCCCTGCAGTGCCTGAAATAACACCTTAGGGAAGAACTGACACATCGGTGAGTTATATATTAACCACTATAGATGACTTTTCAAAGAGTGGCAGGGGAACAATCTCATGGAATTGCTGATAAAGAAAAATGGCATTTTTTCCATTATGCAGAGCACGGCTACTAACTCCTAGGAAAAGACTGTCCAGCTCTTTCCACTAAATTTTACTATTTTCAGTTCTTCCATACTTTCTTAAATGTGAATGAATTGTTCAGATGTTTTCAATGCTAAATAAATACCTCTGGCTGTTTCTCGTGGGGAGCCGAGGGGAGAAGGCAGGAAATGTTTTAGCTAAAATTATGCGGCCATTTCCAAGGAAGTGTCAGAAAAGCAACATACAAGTTTGCTTGAGTTAGTTACAGAAAAAAATAATCTTAGCAGTCATTCAGCACTGTGCTCGCTTTTCCTTCCCGAGGTCTGACCTTGCTCTGCGTTCAGTGTTATCGGAGATCTGCTGCAATGGAGTTTATGTGCTTCTGTCACTTAGGACACAAATGAATTGCTTTAACTTAAGCTTAAAAGTGAAACCCTGCCAGAGATGACAATATGAGTACTATATATCGCCAGTTAAATGACTAATGATTTATTTGTCTTTGAATCTTCTGGTGAAAGCTGAAGCATAATGGTGAAAGAAAAAATAATGGAAGTTACATAACACCTCACATATGGAATTGATAATGTTCTGGTTTTATATGGAATAAGTTACTCTTCAGTGGTTATACACATAGATATAATGAGGATGATTTCATTTGGTGTCCAATGTGTGCTGTGCATATATTCAGGAGATAAGGGAGATTTAAACTTTTTGTCTGAAGATGAGATTTTTCACAGAAGATCCTTCTTTTGGTCAATATATTCCACTATTTAATGAAAATAAACACTAGCCATGTTTCAATTCAATTGTTCGGTTTTCAAGTGACATTTTTTGACCTTCAAAACCACAAAAATTATCCTTGTTTTAGACCAAAACATCATCTTTTTGATTTGAAAAAAAAAATCTTAAATTTTTTTTCATATAACTTCTTACTTCAGTAGTAGTATATTTGCTTCAAATTGTATATTTGAAATTTAATTGTATGAAATTTAGGTAGCCATAGGCTTTAAGCACCTTTACATAATTAATAATATAAACTAAACTAATGTCCTTGTGATCTTTCTATCAGGAACTCAGCTAGACAAGCACCTACAGAGACTTTTTTCCACTCCATCATTACGGGAAGCATACTCTGCACTTGACAAGGTGAAATAAGAATGTATTCAGGTAACAAAAGGCTGGTAATAAACACCAATCAGCACAGGAGAGTTGAGGGTAGGGCACATTCAGAGCAGGATGTTGCTCAAATGTGTTTGGGGAGGGAAGGACTGACAGGGGGTGCTTATCCACCCCTTAGAGGTGCTACGCTTCATGTGGATCAGGGTTATCCTGGGGTGCAGAGGCTGCATCTCCTTTCCTCTCACCCAGACCTTTTCAAGAAAAGAGAGGCATGAGTAAAGGAGAAGAAGATGAATCATTTCACTTAAATAACTGGTGCCGTGGCAGCCAAGGAGGCAATCTGTGACAGAGAAAAGAGGTGAAAGGCAAAAAGGGGTAGCCAGGATTAGGTTGAAAGAAAGACTAAGCAAAAGCAGAGAGAGAAACACTGAGACAAAGGCTTAGCCCGGGGATGAGTGATGCAGAGTTTCTATGAAACTGGTAGAATCCAGAATATAAGTATGCTTAGCGCTAGTGTGACGGTTATGTTTGAATGCAAGGGCATTTGTATGTGTACTAGCGTTGCAGATATTGAACATCTTTAAGCTGGTGCCAGAGGTCTGTCACATACGTCAATCTTGGAATTGCTGCCAGTTTTCTGAGTACAGCGTGTCCAAGTGATTATTACATGAGACTGTGGTTAGAAGCATGCAAAATGAGTTGCGAGTAAGTTATACTTTTATCTGATGTTTGGGCTCTAAGAAAAGGGGAAAGAGATGTAAGTCTTGCATGTGACAGTTTTGATCAGTCCCTTCAGAAAAAAAAATTTCTTTGTACTTGTCCATAAATTAAACTCTCTTTGTGATGAAAAGGCAGCAACATCCATTTCCACTTGTTGGAAATGTTTTGTATGCAGGCTTTGGCAACATCTTTCTCCTCACAGGAAGAAGCCTGTAAGAAATCCCAGCGTTACCTTTCAGATGGTTATGCCATCACACTACTCTATTGCACCACCAGGGCGTTGCAAAGAATGAATGCCTTAACGATGTGGAGCTACCCAAACCTAAAAAGGCTTGGGAGCGGCATATTCTTTACTGTACGCATGACCTCATCTTAAAAGGAAGATTATCTTTTGCATACTTAAGATGATGGAAAGTTGGGAGGAGCTGTTATAAATTTCATTTCAGCAGCAATATGGTTCAAATAAGAAAAAATACATTGTTGTCATCACCCTCTTTGCCAGTTCTACCTGTAACTGTTCTTTTTTATTTTGGAAGAGGCAATCACCACAAAAATCAGGATGAACAAATTTCTCACATATGTGCCAAGGCAACATCAAAATTTCGGAATGCAGAGCAGCTGGTGTTGCTACGTGGGCTACTCAGCAGGGTCGTGAAGATGGTGCTCTGGGCTGGATGCAGGCACCTGTGACGGCAGGGCAGAGGAGGGAGCTGCCAGGCACTGCCAGCAGCCAGCCCTGGTGTCAGACTTATGCAAAGTATGACTAAAACAATGTCACTGCTGAATACAAAATTCCCCCATTTCTTTCTTGCTTTAATGAGAAGAGCACTACAGATGTGGGGATAGGGACAAAAGTAGCCAGTATTTCCTCTCCTCTCCCTCTCTCCATGCTAATCAGCCGTGCTCATGGGATGCTGGCTAATCCCTCTGGCTTCTGAACGGAGAAAAGAAGATGCTTCTCTTTCAAGTAACTAATGAATCACCCCTTTTAGTACACAGCATGCATGACTGCATTGTTAAAAGCAGTCTTAATCACTCACTGAGAAAAATTATATCGATCATTTCTCCCTTTTAGTTGTTAACTGGAAGCCTCTGGAGTTGTGACTCATAGCCTGTGTGCTCTGGCAAGCCCAGAAAGACTTCAGTAGATTTTTAGGTAGTTATAGGACTCCCCTGCATCTTATTTCTCTCATCTTCCTGCTATGGCTATAATTTGGGAAAAATGATAAATTTATTGGTTTCATCCCTTTTTAGGAATCACTGTTCTGCAGATGGATTTGGCCTGAACTTTACATAAAAGTTCAAAAAAGAGAAGCATTTTTGGTAGGCAACTGACTTCTAGCAGGGAATAGTGCAAAACTACTCCTGGGCTGGAGGAAACCTACCCTCCATTTTGCCTTTAGCTCTGTAGCGGTGTTGGACAAGCCACACATGCAGCAGTTCATCCTGGTTTACAAGGGTAGGACTCTGTGTCAACAGGACAGTGAAATAAGGAAAAAGAAGTAATAAGAGTAAATTTGAAGGTTTTTGACAGCTTCCTGGAAAGAGGGTGAATTGGTCTGAGGTAAGGAATAAATTCTGTTGTTGACAAGGAATTGCCAAGGGCAGAGCAAAGTGAGTACACAAAAAGTTTTCAATGTGACATGGGAAAAAATATATCTGTGGTTGTTTAAATGTAGACAGATATACTGGTAGATGTACTTGTGTATTAATTCCATAAAAAAATACTAGACTGAAAGTTGTTACCAACACTGAATGGTCAAGTTTTCAAGTGGTGGAGAATGCCAAAGTTAAGAGACTCTATACCCCCTTAAATCAGTACTTCTGTGTATGTATGTTTATTATACGAGTATAATATGATTGAATTTTGTTAATACATCCAACTTCTTTACTGAAAGAAGCATGAAGCATGTTTGTTGTTACCAGTGCTTTCTGTTATTTCCCCTAAATAGCCCTTCTTGTTCACTCTGTGGAGACCTTCCCCATGTGCTCCTCCAGTTCTGATGCTACATGACGTTGCTGATCAGCAGGTCCTCTGCTGTCCCACCACAGCCTTCCTTTAGCTGCTGGAAAACGGACTTAACTTCTGCTGTGAGCAGACACTTAGGAGGCAGGGGAAAGAGGGGAAAAAAGGCACATTGAAAAAAAGTGGTTGCTTGTGTAACGATTGTGTAACAATGCTAAAAATGCATGCATTACAAGACTTCATCATGTTTGAATGTAGCTGGGAGCAAAGGTGATGTAAAACAACACTGATCTGCTGAGTGGTCAGGGTGGAGAGAAGAAAACTGTTTTCCAGGAGATGCCTGCATGCTGAGAACGTGATATGTCCTTGCCTACTTTGTCTGCTAAATTGAGGTTGGTGATATGACATCTCAGTGATTTGTTGGGTGCTGTTCAACCATCACAGTTTTTTGTAACAGAAGGCGTAATACCCTCAGTCACCTGAGGTCCACAGCAAACAGGTCTCCTCAAAGAGACCGAGTTCATCCACAGTGGCTAATGACCTTTTCTTTTATCAGAAGGCCTTTCTGGCAGCTCAAGATCTATTCTCAGGGGAAAGGACAGAAAAGAGAACTGGTTCAGCATAGGATTAGGATCCGCTTGCATGCTGCCCAGATGCAGTTAAGTATTTTTTATTTGCTGCTGTGAAACATCAGCCATAAAGCTACGTGTAATCTACTAATTAAATGCAAAATGCTAAGGACACTGGGGATAAACATCAAAAAATCTCAAGATAAATGGTATATTAAAACATGCTTCAAAAAGGGACTAGTGATCACCATGTAATCTGCCCTTTGGGCTGTGCTGGTAGAGATGGAAGGGTTGGTTGGCTCAGAGATCCTCTGCTTTAGCAGGGACTGCTGATACATATTTGCCTCATCAGAGGATAATAGTTTTCTTTCAGCACCTTTGGCTTTTTGCTTCTTTGGCTGCCATTGCTGCAAAAAGTATTGCTGTCAGCTGTAGGTCTTAGAAATATCCTTTGGCATATGGAAAGGAAATGGGATTTATTCGGTGACAGAGTCTCACTCCCCTGGCAGGTTGCTTGATGGACGTGGTCACTTGATGAAGGCATGCTGCCATGGGGGGACAGCCCCTGGGATCTGCCGTTGTGTCAGCTCAGCTCTCAGAGAAACACATCAACTGCTGTGGAGGAAGCAGACGCTCCCAGTGGTATCACAGAGAAAGAACAGACAGCAACACATTTGGGAAGAAGGGCATGCTGAAGAGCCCAGCAACTCTGCATTTGGTGGGTTCAAGGGAGGATTTGGTGAGAGCAGAGATGAAGAGGGAGCCTTGCTGGGGGGTAGCTCTGGAACAAAGCAGAGAAGCTCCAGAGGCCTCCCCAGAAACCACGGGCTGTCAGGGGGGGTTCAGGTTTTTTGCAATGACTCTATGAATGCAGAGAAGTGTAATTCGTAGGGCCACAAATCTCAGCCATCCTCTGCACTAAAGGGTCAGTGAGAAATACCAGATAGTAACTGTACAAAGTTCTGGCCTTTACACAGTTGTCTCAGAAGGAAATAACCTGGTCCTTGGCAACTAAAAATGGGCAGACCTGGTATAAACATCTGTAAATGTTTTTGTGATGCATTTAAGAGTAGCCAGCACTTGTTCTTTGTAAGTAGGATAGCAGACATCAGGAAACCAACATTTTTAATAACTAGCTGTGATTTGAATTCCTGACTGCAACTTCAGTTTTAAATCTCTTTAAATACTCTTAAAATATATTTCAGGTTAGTAACCTCATTCAGCATCAATTTCTGCTTGGATTTGAGAGTACCTTTTAGTATTTGCTGTTTGTTACATTCATAAAAATAGTATTTAAAATCCATGTATAAATTTATTTATAAACATAAGACCGTCTGATCGCTTCAGTAAATTACTTATTACAACTAGTTGCCCTTCACAAAACCCCTTTGTTTCAGGGCCCTTCCTTGCAAACCCGCAGTTGAGAAAGCTCCATATCTAGGATCCCAATATTTAAAGTTTAAGATTGTGACTCTCAATACATTTATTCTTTTTCTCCTAGATCCCACGTATGTGAACAGGCTGGCACAGGTCTCCGTGTGAGACCTCAGAGTGGAGCCCTTGCATTGTGCAGCTGAGGAACTCGCTCTGGTTCCCACACTCAACCAGGTCCTCTGCTGTGGCCTCACACACCTCTCTGACAGGTACATGTAGATGTTACCCACCTTTCCATGTCAACAGAATCCCAAACTGTGTTTCTACCTAACAGGGACACCAGTCTTTAATGGGAATCAAAAGTCAGGATGACCAGAAAAGCCCTGCCCAGTCATGAACCATGTGTAGTGGTTCTTCTCTTTCCTTAGTGTAGACTGGAATGTTGATTTCAATGCCTCACTGAGGTCAGCAGTAAAAGTCCCTCTGTCTGCAAGTAAGCCAAGAGTCCAGCCTTCAATATCTGACACCTTTTGGGAGATTTCTGTGAATGTCCTGAAATGCAGTGCTGAATGCCTGCGCATTTATTTTTCTGCCTAGGGCCAGGCTATAAAATGACTGTCTTGTACAAACTGGCTGTGGACGTCATGTTGCTGGACAGCTGAGAAATGATACAGCAGCAGATGACCCTCACCCCCTTCCTAAAGACAAATGATGTTTTTAACCTTATATTTTTGCGATTACACTGCAATTTTGTGACTACACTACACAGGCTTAAAAGAAAGGATTTTTATACAAATCAGAATTGTCCAATTGCTTACCAAAAAAGACTTTATTATTCACTATAGCAAATCTCTATGGTTGGTCAGAAATGTCTAATATGAAAAAATATGCCAACTTCAAACAGTACAGCTGATTTTCCATTTCTTGCTCATCCAAGTCAACTCATGAAGAGATTTTGGTGCACTAAACACATATTCTAGCCAAGTATTTTAACCACTGCTGAGACATTTTGCAGGTTGGACGGTTTTAATCGGTTTTGTAATCTTTAATCTTAAAAGGCCTTTTCTTTAGAGGGTGCTTTTTCTTGCTGATTTAGTTCAAAAACTTTTTGAGGCAGTGATTGCCCATGCTGTAGACTTCTACATCATTTCTTTTACATCCAGTTTTGGAGGAGCCATTTCAGTATCATGATAATGCCAAGCAGGAAATAAAGAGTGAATGCTTTTTTTCTGAGCATATGTGTCACTGGCATTGCTCTCGCCACGACAGCTAACAGCCATCTAAGAAAAGACAGGTATAGAGGCCAGGCTGTGGGTACATGGCCTGGTAAATCTGGCTTTGGAGTATTTAATGGTGGATCAGAAACGTTACCAGCACAAATGGTAAAATCTCAGGTCTGGTGCAAATTTATCCTACCTAATAAAATAATGTTTTAAAGCAGTAACTTTCTTCTGGCCAGCTTTATAATGGATTTGATGGTGGGGTTTTTTTTGCTTGCCGTCGAATTTTAGTCAACAGAAAGTATAAAACTGCTTTAACACTGTGTCACTTATTCTTGTTATTCAGAAGAAACAGAAATACAGTGGTGCAGGCACATTTGGTCCAGATTAAAATTGTATTGTCTGTTGACCCAGTAATGCATGGAGCTGGCATTAATGAAAGGGAAACCTCAGCTGTTGAAGGGTTGATTCTTGAGAACCATGTAACCATGTACGATTTCATCATCCCAGGGGAAATGCATTTGTTACTTTTTCCTTCATTGACTCCCGGTGCCTGTTTGCCCGAGGCTTTGGTATACACATTTTATTTTCCATTTATAAATTAGCCCTTTTTTTGTTTGTTTGAAAACTTTATCTAGTGTTTTCTGAAATTATAAATCTTACCTGCTTTATACAAGGAAAAGAAGATACTGAATGAATGGTTCCACTCATTATTGTTTTAGTGTGAACATTTTAGGTTTTTAAAAAAAATGCTTAACAGAGAGAGATTTGTAATCCTCCTTTGCTTATTCCCAAGATTCTTCCTCATGTCTAAATCATTACTACAATTGCTACATAGACAGGTTTGGCCAGTACTGCAAGAAAATTAAGGGCTGGCCAGCAGGGCCTTTAGCAGTGCAATACCGTACAGCTTAAAAATAACATTTTGGATCCTAGATTCAGTAAATTTCTAGCATTAAAATACAAATCTGGAGGACCTTGAGATGTTAAGTTTATAGTAACAGATGCCATTAAGCATTGTGTGATTACTCTAAAGCTACAGGAGTATTTGTTTACTGTTTTAAGAAAGCCTGTTAACTTCCTCTTATAGTTATTTGTCTTCTTTATTTAGCAGCCTCTATTCTGACCATTTAAAAATATTTAACCGAATTGCTGATGCAATGCATGTACACAATGACCCCAACAAAGCCAACATTTATTGCATCTGCTTACATACAGAGCCATGAACAAATAGCGCATTAATTTTCAGAGAGAGGACAGTGTCTGAATCAGTGCTGTGTGGACCTTCATCTAATTAAAAAAAAAGAAAAAAGCTTGTTAACGCAATTGGTGAGATTTGTGTGAAAAACCCCCCACAGATTTTCAGCTTTTTTGCAATTATTCAGAAGGGTGATTAAAACAATGCCCACAACTCTATTATCACTAAATCTTGATAAATGACATTGAAAATCTATCTTATGTTTCCACTGTAACTAAGAGAGTCCTAATGAGATTAATTTAAATAATCAGTACTGCTGGCATCCCCTACAACCTGCATAACTAAGGGCTCCCCTGCTTATTTTATTTGGCATTTTAAGCATTTTGCTGAAAAATCTTTGAAATACCCTCAAACGTGCGTAGACTGATGGAGGTGAATAAGCTTAAGCCTAAGACCCAAAGAAAGAGAAGCTACATATGTATATTAGCACATACCAAAGCGAACAGATAAGTGACCCCAAAGAATGTGTTCTTTAAAATATTTGAATTCTACTCTGCAATGGAATTCCACCAATCTTCTCTCTTCTTCCTATTTACCCCTTTTCTGTGCCGTTTACTGGAAAGTGCCTGGGAGACTTGCCAGAAAGAGCTAACGTCTCTGAAGTAACGGGATCAGAATGACCATGGTATCACCACAGCTTTTTAGGGTGGAATTTGGAAGTGTTTGTTTTGTGGCAGCCTTTCAACTTTATGCAGAATAATTTCTTAGCTGAGGCATTTGGCAAAGAGTGCTCTGCATGACTCAGCGGCAGATCTTCTCCATCTCAGATTTTGGTTATATTAATATCAGGTTTATTTTTTACATGAACTCATACATATTTATGACTTAAGCTCTCTTGCGTGCTGCTGGGCTTTCTCTACTTCCAGTGCCTGTCTCTCCAGCTACTCCAGCAAAGCTCCATGGCATACTCCACACAGTGATTCAGTCTTGGGGTGGGTGGGAAAAAAATAATCAGTCACTGGAGCAATTTTTTGTTATTAATAGAGATAATTCTGTTGTTTGTGTCTTTAATTGGGGTTACCTCAGGGGGATCTGTGCAAATCCTACCATGTTCAGGTCCGTAACACTAGGTACAAGTCATGACTTTGAGGTCTAGGATTTGGTATTAATGCTAGCCGTGCAACCTTTGTTAGTACCCATGCTCATTACTCATGCAAAAAATTGTACTGACTTAAAAGAGGCTTTCTGTAGCACAGGTGCTGGCCTCCAGTCATCAGCTCTTTGTTACAGACATCATCACAGAGTCAGCCTGTGGTTCTCAAGCAGCTGAGAAAACACACTCACCCTAACACATGCAGGGTGAAGTACTGATGCTCTGGCCAATCTCTTCAGTACCTCGAGTGAAGAGCTGAAGAGCTGTTATTTTTCTCTGTATTGAGGAGGGAATGGGTCAGGAAAGATTGGCAACTACTTCAAGCACAGACTAAAACCACCCTTTGGGTTTTGTCTTGCTCCTTCAGGAAGCAGAGGTGTGATCTCTTTGAGCTGGGGTTGTTCAGCCTGGAGAAAATGAGGCTGAGGGGAGACCTTATTGTTCTCTACAACTACCTGAAAGGAGGTTGAAGAAAGGCAGGGGTTGGTCTCTTCTCCCAAGTCACAGGCGATAGGACAAGAGGAAATGACCTCAAGTTGTGCCAGGATATTGGATATTGGGAAAAAATTTTACACTGGGAGGGTTATTAAGCATTGGAATGGGCTGCCCAGGGAAGTGGTTGAGGCACCATCCCTGGAGGTATTCAAAAGACGGGCTGACATGGTGCTTAGTGGCATGGTTTAGTGATGGTTTTTTATCAGAGTTAGGTTGATGGTTAGACTAGATGATCTTAAGGTCCGTTCCAACCTGCACAATTCCATAATTCAACGTCCTTCCCCTCTGCTCGCCATGACAAACCTTTTGAACCCATGGGGCAGTTTAAGTCTAAACAGAAATAGGTGTAGATGTCTCAAAGGTAATTACATTTCTTGAGTTTCTGACAAAATTGATGACTGAGGTAAAAGATCCACATTTACTCTACTGGAAAGTTCAGTGAGCCAAGCTGATGTACAGGAGCTCACGTGCAGCTCTGCATTGACCACAGCACATCTTGTCTCCTGTGGGGTGGGGCCTTGAGTGACCTTGGAGAGACAGAAGATTGAATTTCTGTAAAGGTGAAGCTGTGGGATATGTTCTTCATGGGAAACTAGACTTCATTTCTTTCACTGTTCATAAATAATTTGGTTATCGCCAAATTGATTGCCAATAAATTTCCATTAGTAGAAATATTTGACTCTTCTATAATGCTTTTCATCACAAGATTCAAATTTATTTTCCCAATAGAGAGCTACCAGTATTTTCATCATTATAGGTGGGGAGTGTTACTAAGAGGACTAGTTTTGGGCTGAGTACAAGATTACATGGTCCCCTAAGTCTTAGATTAGTGCCCAAGCCACTGGGTAATCTTGATTTACTAACACCAATTTAAAACCACTCTAAATATTTTTCTAGGCTAGACACATTTGTTTCTGGCAATAAAGCTGAGGGGGAGCCAAATGGTAAATAATGAAATACTGAGAGTTCAGTTTGAACTGTCAAACTCGCTTGAAGACAAGATAGATGCTGTCATTTTAATACTTAGCTGTTGTCCGTTTTAAAGTATATTCCTACACAAATAGTAAGATCAGTAACAAATACAGATTTCCTTATTTTGAGGACTCTGAGAAGCCTTTTAGCTGTTCTTAATTGGATATCATAGTTCTCCTGTGGCTATGGTTGAGCAGACGTGCCCTGTATTTGCAGGTGACAGGCAGGGAGGGACTGGCAGCTGCCTTCCTTAGCACTGTCTGGCAAGGTCCAGATAGATGGCAGTGGCCCACCTGTGCAGCCCTGCCTTCAGTTGAAAGTGCATTTGTGCCCAAATCTGTACTTCATAAAGCTTCCAAATTTTGTCATACGCTTTTATGAGTTTGTGTCTTCATAAGTCTACAAAGATTGAAACAAAATGTGGAATTTCTATAGTTTCTGATGTTTTTCACCTTTTTGCCTTCATGTGTCACTTTAAATTATTTTTTCTTGATGTACTGTGTCTCACTGATGTCTCATCCCAACCATCTAACACTTCTCCATATCGCTAGTTGCACCAAGAACTTCTCTTTTATCGAGTGTTTTTTGCCGTTGGCCTCTTCAAGCTTATTGGTGCTGCCTGCAAGAATGACAAATCTCAGTTTTGGTTTCTCAGCAAAATGGAGAAAACATGAATTTGAACTGCACTCTCCGTATTTTGTTTGCAAATATTTTTGAGGGACAAGAGTATCAATAGCTGAAATATTCTTCTTCAAGGTAGTTTTTCCTTCACAAATTTTCGTTTTCCCAGCCATGTTCTTGTTAAAGGACAATTCCTAGTAGGCATTTGGATGAAATGGTGCTTTGATTTAGGAACACCCAAATCCCTAATTTTCTATGAAATACATGCTCATAAGTCACTCAGAGGAATTTGAAAATCCCAGATGGATGTCTTATTTTGGTCTCAGCAATGCTGTAACTTACGCTGTGCTACTTACTTATGAATTACAGCTTTGCACTTACAATAGCTTGCTGCTGCTTCTAGTCACAAATTTACCAACAATCTGTTTATGAAATGTTATGTATTTTACCATCATCTTAGAATCCAAACTCCAGGTGGCAGGTTTTTTACATTATTGAACAGGAGATGATGGCCATAATCTTTATCTCTATATTGACTCCTTGGCTGCCATTTCATAAACATGCACAGTAGTTGTTGTATGAATATTATAAACAATTTCCAAGAGCTAACAAATTGGCTGTGCTTGTATGAAGTATTTTAAGATAAAATACTTCTTTTGATCTATAATTTCCATATGGTAAATTGTATCATTTCTTGGGGGCTGGGGGAGGGTTTTCATATTTAAATTGTTTGTAGAAGCCAATTTTCTCCAATACCTCAAACATGGGTTTGTTGGAGGAGCTTGGCTGAGGAGATAAAGGGGAGTTGATGGAAAGTTTTAATCTTTGAAGACAGATGGTTGGCAACTTTCTAATACTCTTTAATCTTATTACTTCTCATTGCTCCATGGTTTGTGATGTGTATTTTTAACATTGTATTACTTTTACCTGCTAGTTACTATGGGTTTTAACATGCTTTAAACAAACTGTGTTCAACTGAGTTTCAGAAAGTTTAACTTGGAAGGAAAGATTCTCAGAAAAAGATGTGGGCAAATTTGAAATCTGCTTGCTGAAAGTATATGAGCAGCATATACTGACAGTCAAAAATGTATAGTTGAAAAAGCTAGAAAAAAAACACCACCAAGAAGCTGATGCATTTTATAAATATGACATTTAAAAGCAACATCTTGAAAAAAAGGGATACTTTTCCTTTGGCTTCCTGTGTAGAGGATGAAATACTTGCTTCCAGCTGGATCTGGGAAGGTCTTTGTTGTGATTGTGGTCTAAGACTTTCTGCTACCAATGGACTCCACAGAAAGGCTCTCCTTAACCCTCCTGTCACCAAAGTCCTCACAGAGTTTATGAGGTTGTATGAAATGAAAATTTACAATTCCCATGTCCGAGGACATCAACCATATTCTAACAGCCTGAGATGTCAATATTAGGGCAGCACATGATATAAATTCACAATCATTACCATACACACAGTAATTAAAACCAAAGACTTCCACTGGAAATGGGAGCGATTTAATCTCTTTTTTCCCCAAGATCTCTGCCCCTGGGGTGAATTTTTATATGCATTCTCTGGTATTTAGTAAAGGCAGCCACACTGTAGTCTTTCCTTTACAGGCTGGTCTCTCTTCTCTCCCCGGCCGCCTATTTAAATTTGTAGGAACTTAATATCTTTGAGCCTTATCTGGCTCTGTTGTATTTGATTGAAGTTGGCTGGTGGATTAATAAGTTACTGAGGGAATGATGGGTGGACAGGGAGACAGATGCATATGTTCACACAAACATCCACACAAATAAAGGATCATGCATTTCCTTGCAAAACTTGTCTAAGAAAATCCTCCTCTGATGTAAGACTTTTAACTACTGTCCTCAGATCTCTATCATTTTCCTCTGTGTTGTAAAGATGGGCTGCTTAACTTCCTTGGGTATGGCAAATTGAGCACCCCAGCAGTTCATCGTCTAGGCTGTCAATTGCTCCTGTTGAAATATCTGGTAAAGGGAGTGAAGTATTAAAATTTGCAGTAATTTTGGTTAGATTTAGAGTAAATGTCTACATTTACTGCCTAGATATTTAAGGAACTGTACAGCCATACAAGAACAATCCTTTTCCCATTGTTAATCCCATGTACAAAATTTAGAAGCAAACCTTGTTACTGCCACATGTCAAATTTCAAAGCCATTTCGAACTATGGACACATAAATTAAAACGATCTAATGGATGTGACCCAAGACATCACTGCTGGTCAGCTGAAGCCATCACCAACTGCGTGTGAGCCCTTAACCCGCCCCAGTTGTGGGCTAAATGACACTAGCACGGAACACACTGGAGCCTGTAGCAGGAGTAAACCTGGTTCAAACCCGTAACGCTGCTGTGCCTCCAGCCCTAAGCTGCCGCAGCCAAATCCTGCTGCTCACGTGCTCCCAACTCATGTGAAATCGGGGGATTCTGGAGGGCTTGGAAATGTCAGCCCTTAAGTGGAAAAATGTTCTCAATCTTTGCAGCGCAACTGGTGCTCTGCTGTGGCATGTGCTCTACTTGGCACAACTGGTCATTGAACAGGTTTATTATTTACTCAGGGCCATTTGTCTCGCATCCAGTGTGTAAAAGTTGCAGTTTTGGAATAGAACAGCGTGTTGGGTTGTGAGTTCTAGAGACTACTGGTGTTCCAGCAGCTCTTACGTGGGTTTTTGCCTCAGCACGTACAGACGCAGATTCTTTTTTGGCTGTTTTTGGGCTGCAGATGTTCTGGAGGTAGGTGCGTGCTCGTGTGAGCAAAATCTTTTCTGATACTTAGAGTAACACCCCATGGGTGATGCCGCAAGGTCGCCTTTCCAATGCAGGGCTTGACGGAAGCAGCTGCTCCTCCGGAATTAAATTTCCAGTTAGGTCTCCCAACCAGAATGCCTTAACACCGGTCCTTTACCCTGCATTGCTGGGGATGCTCTCTCAGCACCTCTCGACTAACGCAACCACCGCCGAGCCGCCTCGGCGCTTTGCCGCATGTCCCCAGCCCCAGGTCCGCACCGCCCCGCACCGCCTCCCTTCCCCGGGCCGGGATGGGACAGCGCCGAGGGGCGCCCGGGCAGACCGGCGGGGAGGCGGACGGCGGCGATGCCGGCAACCCGCCCGCCTCCCTTCTCCCCCCCGCCTCGGCAGCCCGGCTCTCCCGCCGCCGGGCCCGGCGCGGCGGGGAGGAGCTCTCCCCGGGCCCCCGCGGAGCAGGCG